ACAGGGCCCTATCTCTTTCATCCCTGGATGAAAACTTTCATGTTGGGTGTCATTAGGATACCCACAAAACCAGGAATTCTGGTATCATACGAATGTCGCCGTATGTCCAGGAAGAAAGTAGATACAGGAGAATTAAGCATTTATGCCATAGAGTTATGGAGTACACAGTTTGAGGTGCAAGGCATGGTAGAGAGGGGACACCAGCGAGACGACAGATAAGATCTGACCTCTGAGGTCAATCTCAACCGGCGCAATGATAACAACAGTGACGTAGTCGTGACGTGGTCATTACGCCACTCTTATACCAATCATGTAAAGATCAATATTATTGGTTCAGGTACCTTCGCTGCAATGCCACTGTCACTTGTAGGCCTGGCGTTTGTACCCCGATGAAGCTTGCAATCCGTTGCAAGAGCATTCTCATGAGGAAAACCGTACATGTTTGACGTGTCCTTCTGTCTCTTGGCCAATAGACAGAACACACCATCCATTCCTTACCATCAAGTTAAACTCTGCTTTCTGCTCGATATACCAGCGCTGCCCGAAATCGCGATCGTGACTATATTGTTTAGAAATCTTCTAGAGTTAAAAGTCTATGAATCACCGGAGCGAAACAGACTGGGATCAGGTAACCCATGGTGACAAACTGGGATCATCTGTCAGTGATCTAGAGTGAACTAAGGAAGTGCCATAGACTAAGTAATCTGTGTGTGACTTTACCACAGTGTACTTGCATGGTACCATATAACCGTAGCTGCCAGCTGGCACTCAGTCCAGAGCATGTGGCCAGCCGCCGCCAGCTGCCACCAGCTCTGCCTCACTGTACTACGTAACGTAACCACCCATCACAACCTTACGTACCACCAGTGCAATCAAGGGTGTGTTTATCTATTTGGCATACAGCACGCCCTCCTACGAGTACCCTGCCATGTCCAAGTACGGTGTTTTGGGAAAGCCTGTCGTCAGTGTCTCACGTCGTAACGAGCGAAACCAGCTGTCAGGCCCCCTGCGAGTTTTTACATAAATGTGCACGAGTGAGTGAATGAAAGAGGTAGCCTACCTGTAAGTACAAGATCTTGTTACAGTATTATTATGTCTGTGTGTTGAGCTGAATGGTTATTAACAGTTCTCACTTTCTGATACCTGACACAGGAATAGGTGGAGACTGAGACACCTGATGGTGTATGCGTGTGGTATCACATTACACACATCTGTGAATGTGAGCTTCAAGTACACCACATATTTGGTTATTGTGTAACATCATTATTGTGCATGATTATTGCCTGTCCTATTGACAGTGCCATTATTAATTTATAGTGCATCATCATTACCCAAGTATCTTGTTGGAGCTCATGTGACCCTTTGTCACAGGAGTTCATACGGTTATATGGTACCATGCAACTACACTGTGGTAAAGTCACACACAAGTTTGTAATTGTACACCAACAGTTAGGTTTGCCGTGTTAATGATTGGCTGTCAATTGTGTTAAGTTAGGTGTTTCTCCACGAGTGGATCAGAATCGATTAGTCAGACGTCAAGAGTCTCGCTAATGCAACCATAGCCTTTCTGATGCCAATCTAAAGTAAATCAAGCACGCATTGTATTAGTGGTTAAGTTTGTAAATAAACTACTGTTAAGCATTATGCCGTGTTTCCGTTGAACCACTTCTGAATACTGCAAACAATTACTTAAGCCTTCAGCCTCAGGTGTCTTCAACATCGAGTTGCCTATTATTCACTGATCTATAAATGTGATGAGGACCCTTGGAGTCCCATAAAGTGTTTCAAGCATTGAGGAGTGTTATGGTATCGCCACATTCATTGGAGTATGGAGTGGCGATTTCGGCGCCATCTATGGATCAGCACCTCAGTTCCCCGGATATTGGACGCTACGTGGACAACGTCATCTGTTGGTGGTGGCGTGACAGCGACAAATGGCTTTGGTTTCCTGCCCTAGTTAGCAAGAGAGGTCGACGTGGATGACCTCTGGTGGATGGCGTGTCACGATCAGCGCCATCTGTTGTGCTTCAGGGCATAATGTCAACTCCCATGTGAATGAGTGTTACCTCATGGTTTCCCCAGTGTACCGTCCATCTAACTGATGATGTTTTATGTCCACAGAAGTGGCATGTGGCTACATAACTCTTTACAAGACTCCTGGTTCAACCATGAAGTCGAGCGGACGTCTGGACACCTCCTCGGCCTGGGTGCAGCCTGTTCACGTCTTGTTTTCCCGTTTTGGCTTTGCTACTGCCGTTTGGTATCCCTTTTCAGCGGTCCGATTGTACGACGCCTGGCGCACATATCGCCTAGGGTCACAGGATTGTTGATAGATTTTTTTTTGACGTGTTCTGGCTGGTTCTCCCGACGGTGTTCGGGGGCCGGCTTGGCCGCGAGGTGCCGGGGGTTGGTGGGTCTTGGTGGGCTCCTGGTGTGCCCTCAGTTGTGGTGGGCGGCCGGCTTCTGCACTGACGGGGGACACTGGATGACTTTTTGCGTTTTAGTTGGGGGCAGAGTTTTGGTTTTGCTACTTGGTGTTCTCTGTGTGGGGCGGGGCCGGTACTTGTCACCCTGAGGGACTCCTGGGTCTCCCCAATCATCTGCCTGACTGTGCGTTTATTTGCCGTATGGCATATTAGTTTCTAGTGATTGGCGTCACTCGTTTTGCGATTTGGCTTGGCGTTCTACCTTTCCAGGCTTCGCGATTCACCCTTCACGGGTACGCCGGGGCGCATCCGATCCCACGATCGTCGTCGCCCCTAAATCAGCAACAACAACATAACTCTCTACAAGGGAATCACACTTGAAAACACTGCACTTGCCCAACTTAATCATAATTACTTAACTTAGAATGAGCTGCTGCGCTCAAGGAAAAACTCTACCATCTCCTCCGCCGGTCCAGTATAACTAACACAAAACCCGCGCTACTGGCCTCAGGCGGCCTGCACCAGTACCAACACTCCCACACTACTGGCTTCAGGCGGCCTGCACCAGTACCAACACTCCCACACTACTGGCTTCAGGCGGCCTGCACCAGTACCAACACTCCCACACTACTGGCTTCAGGCGGCCTGCACCAGTACCAACACTCCCACACTACTGGCTTCAGGCGGCCTGCACCAGTACCAACACTCCCACACTACTGGCTTCAGGCGGCCTGCACCAGTACCAACACTCCCACACTACTGGCTTCAGGCGGCCTGCACCAGTACCAACACTTCCGCGCTACTGGCTTCAGGCGGCCTGCACCAGTACCAACACTCCCGCGCTACTGGCTTCAGGCGGCCTGCACCAGTACCAACACTCCCGCGCTACTGGCTTCAGGCGGCCTGCACCAGTACCAACACTCCCGCGCTACTGGCTTCAGGCGGCCTGCACCAGTACCAACACTCCCGCGCTACTGGCTTCAGGCGGCCTGCACAGTACCAACACTTCCGAGGCCCTAGGCCTGGGTAGCTCACTACTAACCATATCTCTGCAATCCACAGTCATTTACTTAGACTACTAAGTATATTTAGAGACTACTAAGTAATACAATGCTGGGAATTTACTTGCTCACTAAATTAATTAATGAATTAGCCCTACGTGAATTATATAGTACATCATGTCTACATATAACTTGGATAACAGCACTGCCCAGCCAACTAAGTTTCTCAGTTAATTACAAAGTCTAACTAAAATACTCTTAGGCAGAACTAAGGAATGAACCTTCACACACATTTGATGAATAAATACATAACCAATTTCCAAATGTAACGTTGCTAAATGAATGCTAACAATATACTTAATATTTTTACCAATGAAGAACACTAATTGGCAAGAGAAGAACCGCGTGGTCGGCAAGGGACCCGACTACTCACGCTACCCAACACAACAGGGGCATCAATATTATGAGTAATTGTTACACAGGGGTGTAACATACATGCACTTATAAGCACTAATGCACACACTTAATGTATGATACTCCAGAGGTCTTCAAAACTACTCTGGGATAATGAAACATCAAGCAAATCTCTGGTGAGGCACACAGGCAGGACAACCCACCTCCCGGCCACCACAACTCACCCCTGGCCACCACAACTCACCCCCTGGCCACCACAACCCACCCACCCCAGGCTACCACAATCCACCCCCCCCCCACCCGGACACCACTACCCACCCACCCCCGGTTACCACAATCCATTCCCCCCCCCCACCCGGACACCACAACCCACCCACCGGCCACCACAATCCACCCTCTGACCACCACAACCCACCCACCCCCGGTTACCACAATCCACCCCCCCCACCCGGACACCACAACCCACCCACCCCCGGTTACCACAATCCATCCCCCCCCCCCACCCGGACACCACAACCCACCCACCGGCCACCACAATCCACCCTCTGACCACCACAACCCACCCACCCCCGGTTACCACAATCCATCCCCCACCCGGACACCACAACCCACCCACCGGCCACCACAACCCACCCACCCCCGGCTACCACAACCCACCCCCCACCCCCACCCTCGGACATCACAACCCACCCACCAGCCACCACAACCCACCCACCGGCCACCACAACCCACCCCCACCCCCACCCCCGGACATCACAACCCACCCACCCCCGGCTACCACAACCCACCCCCCACCCCCACCCCCGGACATCACAACCCACCCACCAGCCACCACAACCGGTCACAACCCCGGGCGGTAGGTCCAGACTACCAGCTCACTCCTAACATAACACGCACATCTATTCATACAATATTACAAGAATACAAGCAACTACATACAATAATACATCACCCAAATCAAATACTTCAAAAAATGCGAGAATCCTAAGTTGGTTTGTTAGGTTTAATACTTGTAATAGTGTTAACTCATATATTTATTCATTATAATACTTAACATAAGTTATGACTCAGTTATTTACTCAAATAATATAACTGAGTTATAACTGATATAGGAATTTGTTATGTTGGAGAAGGCTGAAGTGTTATTCCCTGCCCACAGGTCGGGCTGAACAGCTTAACCCACATCCTGCGAGGTTCCGTCAGGCTGGAGAAGAATTGGTTGTTGTGTCCGGGCCCCGACCTCACCTGGCGCCGCCTCACTTCCACACCCCATCACAACGTCATACAGGTGAGGTGGTCTGACCTCACCTGAAGAACAGTAGATATAGCCTAAGCTACTCTATCCGTTGTTGTTGTTTTTATCCGTTGTTGTTTTAGATCTAGCTACTCAGAACGAAATGTCCATGTAGCACGGAGTATGGTGAGCCTGTATAAATAAATAAATAAATATATATATATATATATATATATATATATATATATATATATATATATATTATTATCGTAGAGAGAATAGAGGGTCTTCTGCCAAATATCCATAAAACTAAACCTGAAGACAGCACACTCCTAGGAGCTCCCCTGGGGTTGAAAGCCATCGATGAGGTCCTTGATAAGAAAATCGCCGACCTTAAGAGGATGGATGGGAGGATTGAGGATATTGATGCTCATGATGCACTCTACCTCATCACCAGATGTCTGTCCCTCCCCAGGTTAACCTACTTTCTGAGGTGTTCACCATCTTACAGTAGCCAAAAACTAAGTGAGTATGACCGGTTACTGAAATCAATGCTAGAAAAAGCCCTTAACCTCTCTCTCGATGACCTACAGTGGAAACAAGCCTCTCTTCCCGTAAGACTTGGGGGCCTCGGAGTTCGAACAGCAACGCAAATCGCTGTTCCAGCCTTCCTGTCCTCCTTATCAGCATCCGACGACCTTGTGAAGGAAATTCTACCTGCCCACTTACATCAGCTGGCAGGTGTACATGATCCCAATTTTACACGCTGTGCCACAGAGTGGGCCTCTCGTGCAGGCCAATCACCTCAACCACCATCCCCAAAATCCCACAAGCAATCCAGCTGGGATGGTCCCATTGTAGACCAAGTTGCTGCAGAGTGCCTGGGTGCTGCAACAACACAACACGACATTGCTCGCCTCACAGCAGTAGCAGCACCACATGCAGGGGATTTCCTGTTAGCAACCCCAATGTCGGCAACTGGCACGCGTCTCACACCACACGCCCTCCGAATTGCTGTGGCCCTCCGCCTTGCTGCCCCAATCCACACCAGATATAGGTGTATTTGCGGCGAGGTGGTGGCTGACAGGTACGGTCACCATGGCCTACTCTGCCAAAGCACAGGGGGATGGCACTTGAGGCACAGTGAAGTTAACGACATCATCAAGAGGAGCCTCACCACAGCTGGATGCCCAGCTGAAAGAGAGCCCCATTACCTAACGCCCCGTAACTCTGATGCTCTTATTGGTCGCCCGGATGGTATCACAGTGAACCCCTGGAAGAATGGCAAGCAGTTGGTATGGGACTACACGTGCGTATCAACCCTGGCTAACACCTACATTAACCTCAGTGTTGCACAACCAGGTGGCGCTGCCACCCACAGGGAAGCAGCCAAATCCCGTAAGTATAGAGAACTGGATCACCACTACAATTTTGTCCCCATTGCTTCTGAGACGCTCGGCGCCTGGGGTAAAAGTGCTACCAGTTTTTTGAAGGAACTGGGTTCTAGGCTCATTGAAACAACAAGGGACCCGAGAGCTGCAAGCTTTCTTTTCCAGCGCCTCAGTGTGGCGATACAGAGGGGAAATGCGCACTGCATCCAGGGTTCCTGCCCGCCATCTGAGGAGCTGGAGGAACTCGACAACCTATGACAACCATCTTTGTAACCCATATGTAACTCCTTTTTTGTAACAAAGTTCAAATAAAGTAAATATATATGTGTACATACAAAAGAATGGGGGTGGTAGGAGAGGATAATATTAGTGTTCAGTGAGAAACCACAAGGTCTCCTCTGAATACTTTTTATTTTCTTCTCCGAGGCTATGGGTCCCCACATTGGCACCAGAGGTGGTACCCTCACAAACCTTTTTATATATATTATTAGTATATTTGGTAGCAGTCTTTCCTGTAGACATATATTATTACATATAACCGAAAAAGTAAGATTAATAATTCTAACACGAGTATTCTCACTATTTCTAATGGTTCTTTTCACTGTCGATGGTAATTGAAATCATAAGAAGGAAGGTGAAACGCCATGCAACCTCTGAAGAGACAACTAACACAACACCTATACCCCCTATTAGACTATTTTACAGGAACTTCTTTTCCACAGCTCATAAAACGGAGGAAAGGGTCCTGAAAGATATTGTTAATAGAAACGTTATCCCTACAGACAAAAATCAGAGGATACAACTGACGATTTACTGTAAAACCAGAAAAACGGCCAGCCTACTCATGAGAAACTCTCCAGACACAAAGCAGAACGCTTTAAAAGAGACCAACGTCGTCTATGCCTTCAAATGCCCTCTTGGGGACTGTAAGCTCCAAAAAATCCAGTATATAGGCAAGACAACAACATCTCTTTCTAGGCGTTTAACGATGCATAAGCAACAGGGCTCCATTAAGGAACATATAATCTTCCCACAACCAAACCATTGCCAGAGAAATCCTAGTAAACAACACAGAAATCATCGATAGATACAGCGATAGCAGGCGGCTTGACGTTTGCGAGGCATTACACATCAAGAAGTCAACACCAGCAATCAACAGCCAATTAATGCACAACTATATTCTACCCACCTCAAGACTCCGCTCCAATATAGAAGCATCAAGAAATATGGACCAATAGGCTTTCTACAATCACTTCTATTCAATACCCATTGTTTCATGTTCTGGCTTGTGTTGATGAAATTAATACCTTATTAAATACCACCTCACCCCATCCACCTCACTCAAATGTAGATATAAACAAAATCGGAGATGTGTAAGTTCTATTCAGTTGTGTATGTGTTAACTAAAGTCTTTGAAAATGTAATAAGTTTTACGAAACGCGCTCAAGTGTCGCGTCAGACTAGAAATAAAAATGAATTTTGGAGAATTGATTTTTGAATTACCTCCAAGAGTGAAAAGAAATGTACGAAAGATTGAGAAAATTCGTGTTAGAATTATTAATCTTACTTTTTCGGTCATATTTAATATATATATATATATATATATATATATATATATATATATATATATATATATATATATATATATATATATATATATATATATATATATATGTC